ATCTTTAACCATCAGCATTATATTCACTCCACAAATTTTCAAAAGAATTTAAAATACAAGACAGTTTTTGCACTTTCTGAAATACAATACACTGCTGTCACTACAAACTTTGTGAAAATTAGGTTTTAACCCCTTTATTTGATTAATGGTACTGGAACTGATCAGCGAAAAAAACGTACTTTGCTGTTCTATGCTACACTAAATACAGTATGAATACATGACCAAAGATCATCAAACTATTTGCAAAAAACATATCATTACAGCTGAATATGCCATAAGTGATGCATCTGGTCCAAAAGCCACACATAGCTAAACACTGACATCTTGAACAACACTCCCACCTGCCAAATTCTGTTTACTAATTTAGAAGTTTAACCCTTAACACTTTAGTCCGGGCATGACACAGCATTGCATCATCTGTTTACTGTCAGTAATCTCGGGGATGACGCAGCATTGCGTCATCCACTAAAATAATTGCCAAAAATCAGGTTTTTATCCGATTTTTGGGGGACTGTTTGGTAACTGTCAACAAGCCGAATGCAATCTGTGACTACATTACAAACATGAAAGGTGTTGATCACTTTGACCAAATGATCAAATATCACTTCATAAGAAAAACTCACAAATGGACGAAGAAAATGACCATCTATTTTGTGCAAATGGCTATCTACAATGCTTATGTGATGTACAACTACTGTACTACACAAAAAATACTAAACTATAATACTACATATACTAAAATACTAAATACTAAACATTTGTGGGCAGGAATCGGGAGTGTAGCTGGAAGGCGTCTGGGCACTCACTCGCGGTTAACGCGTGGCCCGTCTTCAACTTGTCGGCGGGTGGAGCGTGACCAGGTTTTTTTTATGCTAACACATTGATACCAAAAATTACCGAAAATTGAGGTGACCAGAGTGAAAAGAGTGAACACATTTTATTGCTTTTGCGTGCTCCTGGGTAACTCGTTCGCACTTTCTCTGTTTGCTGCGGGTAATTAGCCAGGCTTTTGGAGTTTATATGCATTTAGTGCTGTAGAGAATTCTATTGTGAACACAATGATACCAAATTTAATCTCGTAGGACGAGAATTAAGGTGACAAAGTTGAAGAGAGTATACACTTTTCAGAATTAACGCGCGCTCCCATGAAACTCTGGGACCCAAATCGCACAGTTGAGGGGTGGCGGGCGGGGCACGCCAAAGTGTTAAACAGCGCAAATCATACATATATGATTTGAGTAACTGTCACAAAACGGCGCAAATCATATATATATATATATATATGATTTGCATACAGTATTTAAAATAGTTAAAATAGTCCTACACATACATAGAGCTCACATCTGCTTCCTCAGACCACCAGTAACCTTCCCCCATCTTGAAAAAAAATCCTGAGTCCCTCACTTTCCTTCTAGGGCCTTTGTAAGAAAATGATGACCATTGCTAGGCAACATCACCATCCAGTATCTGAATGTTTAGGGCAGCCATGGAGGAGACACTAAACTTTTAGCAACAGCAAATGAGTGATTACCATGTATATATTCGAGGCAAAATGTGTGCTCTATGCAATTTTAAGATTTAGGCTTAAAATATATTTATATGTGTATTTTTATGAATAAGTATGTGGGTGTCTTTATATCTTTACTTGTATATCCATACATACTTATATTTTCAAAGTTTTACATAATAGACAGTAACTTTGACACACAAATACAACCTGTTAGCATGAAAAGACTAAATTAATAAATTGAGAAACAATGAAAATAAATCAACAAAGTTATTCCTATGTGGCACCTAAACTAAAACTATGCAACTTCTCCAGGCCACTACAGCTAAACCACAAGAGCTAGAGACTTTTTATTTGGATTTTTGTGCTTCCTGAAGGCTAATTAACAATGTCATAAGAAAAAATTATTTTTTCGGAACAATTTTTTTCTTGAGCGTCCTGGGGATGTTTGCTATTTAACAGTTAGCGGTTTAAGGGTTAAACTATCTCGTCTGACAGCTGGATGGACAGCGCTTTGGATTCGTAGTCCTGAGGTTCTGGGTTCGATCCCCGGTGGAGGCGGAGACAAATGGGTAAAATGCTTCTTTCACCCTGATGCCCCTGTTACCTAGCAGTAAATAGGTACCTGGGAGTTAAGACAGCTGCTATGGGCTGCTTCCTGGGGGTGGAAGCCTGGTCGAGAACCAGGCCATGGGGACACTAAGCCCCGAAATTTTCTCAAGATAACCTTCTCAAGAGATCTCGCCTATTAACCAAATCTAGAAATAATCTATTATACTGGTATAGCATTGTATAAGATAGGATAGTCCTTGTTAGGATTATCAAGGTTTCCCAGACCAATGGTATATATAGGTAGTCATCCATCCATTTACTGGCCCAACCCAACAGTGTTTAATCTGATTGGGTGATGTTTACATCACTACCCCAAAAGATTGTGCTTATCCAAGAGACACTAGAAATATGTGTAAAATAATAAACCCCACATTGTTTGAGTTAGGTAAACAATATTTATCAAATATCGATACTGTTCTTAAAAGGTTCCTCCACTTTGCACCCGCAAGATATTTACCAACCCCTAAGTTTAGGGGTTGGTAAATGTTAATCTTCTGGTTTGATTAACTGTTCACCTGAGACAGTTAAGCAAGTCCCAGCAATGTCTGAGTACAAGTGACAGTATGAACAATCCTTCAGGGCAAAATTAAACCCAACCAACACTAATCAGTACTCATATAACATTACAATTTATATCAAATGCATAAGAAACTATTATTATGCACCACTGGAGCCAATCACAGACATTTAAAATATATTATTGTACATGCCTTATGTAACAGAGTGGATTCCATCTCATGTTTGAAAACTGCTCAACGAGGTGGCGGATGACTTGGCCAAAGATGCCACATCAAAACAACACGACATTGAATGTGTTTTCACAATGAGACAAATAAGAAGCAAAATCAGAAATATTCAGGCACAGGCAGAAGTGATGAGGAGAGATATAATGTATGAGGGAAGCCAAACCGGTTGGCCGACCTAGGAAGCCGGTCGGCCGAGCGGACAGCACACTGGACTTGTGATCCTGTGGATCCGGGTTCGATCCCGGGCACCGGCGAGAAACAATGGGCAGAGTTTCTTTCACCCTATGCCCCTGTTACCTAGCAGTAAAATAGGCACCTGGGTGTTAGTCAGCTGTCACGGGTTGCTTCCTGGGGGTGGAGGCCTGGTCGAAGACCGGGCCGCGGGGACACTAAAGCCCCGAAATCATCTCAAGATAACCCCAAGAAACCATGCAACACTACATGTGAGTCAAAACACCCATTTCACTTATGGTAAAAGGAGAAATGCTTGGAGTGACTCTGTGCACATGCTGCTCAGGCTTGGGTACAAATTTTACTGGGAATATAGAATAGGTGTTAATGATAATGACACCAAGGGTAAACTATGTGGTATGTTAAGGTCTCACACCCTCACCCATTATGTTCTTAATTGCCCATTGATTAATATATAGTATAGAAAACACTGAGATAAGAACTGTTCCTGGACAAATTGCCTGGATGTGTCACAATGGAAAGATTGATGATATTCTGGAGAGAGATAAAAGAATTTTGCACCAATAGCCAAAAAAGTATAAAAAAAAACAGTTGGTATAATTTCCAAAATCAGGTATTATGCTCCCCACTCTGCTCTCCTCTCATTATACTATGCACTAATCTATCCTTATCTTACATATGGTATCTGTGCATGGGGTTCAACCACTGCAAATTACCTAAAGCCCATCATCACTCAACAAAAATCTGCTATCAGCAATATAACAAACTCTGTCTTCAGACGATATACAGCCTCTCTGTTTAAGTCCCTTAACATGCTAAACAAACATTCACTCCACACATTCTTATGTGCTATCTACATGTACAAAACCTTGTTCCTAAATGCTAATTTGATCTGAAACTTTTCACTGATAAGTATAATAGAACTTATGAGCACCACACCAGAAATAAATATATCTTTAGTATCCCCAGAGTTAGACTAAATCTGTGCTAAGACTCCATGCAAATAAAAGGGCCCAGTCTTTGGAACTCTCTCCCTGATGAATTAAAAAAAATTGTCCACCCCCATGCCATACTCAAAAGTAAAACTAAAAAGAAATCATTTTATCATCATAGTTTCCTACCTTGTGATTCAAACTCACATTAATTATTTATTTATTTATTTTTATACAAGAAGGTACAATGGGTGTATGAGAGTACATAGCAGTGATGTTTTTACATTCTTGTAAAGCCATTAGCATGCATAGCATTTTGGGCAGGTCCTTAATCTAACAGATTATATTAAGTAGGTAATCTGTAGCGAAAAAAGTGAACAGGTACATAGTAAGAAAACTTTAAGTAAATTAGTAGGTACATTTTAGTAAAATTTGAGGATTATCGACAGTTACATTGTAGCATATTTTGAGGTTTATTTCTAAGTACATTGTATTAAAATATGCATTCAACATAACAACCATGATTTAAGATGATGGCAGTATCTTGTACTACCCAGTTCCCCAATATTAGTATTTAAGACATATATATCCTTACCAATGTAATCACTTCTGTCAACTTATATTGTTGTCATTTGTTGATATAAAACCTTACTGCAATATATCTTTTTATCTTACCTGATATGTCAGATTAAGGACCTGCCTGAAACGCTATACGTGTTAGTGGCTTTGCGATAACGTACAAATACCAGCCTTATGTAATCTCACCAACCCATTGTACCTTCTTGTGAATAAATTTGTATTATTATTATTACTCTCACAACCCAATGTACTTTCTTGTAGACCCCGATGGGCCGGTTATTCTTAACACTGGGGTTCATGTACCTTTACCAGCTCACACCGGTATACAGTCATTAGCGTCTACTTAACAGTTCATACCACCTTACAGTCATTACCATACACTAGCCGAAGACCACAGATTAATCCTAAAATCGTGGGGAAAGCTGGTGTTACCTGACGAAGGCCCGCCATCTTCACCCAAATATTCCGTTGTTGTTGTTAAGATCAAGAACAGCTACCGGACTGGGCTAATCCGGATTCAGAGGTGAAGGCTCGAGTGTGTAGGCCTTAATGAAGGAGATTGGCCAATCGCCAGATAACTTAATTACTCCTCAGCTGCATGGCAGGGAAGTGGGCCGCTCCTCAACACCTGCTTCGTAATAATGGTGTCTTTTTATGTTGCTATGCGCAACAGCTATTCATTGTGAGAAATTAATAGATGACAGCAGCTGTAAATAGCTGATAAGCCTCCCATGCCATTGCTCCACCCATAACTCTGCTATTCAACAAATCTCTAGAGAATCATACAAAGAATCTGCCTTTAAAGGAGAGGTTCAGTGTAACCTTGAATTGTCAATGAGCAAGCAGTCTGAGAGAAATAGTACACCAATAACTTCAACAAAATCTTGTACGCATGTAGACGCATAAAAAAAAAAAAAAATCTTGTAGATCTGAGGCAAAGTGAAATCGACACCAGTAATTCCATCTATCGTCATATCAAGCAAGAGGAGCCACACATCTATGGTTCATCCAATAAAATCAGCAGACTTCTAGATGTTACTACTGTTCGGCTTAGACTCGGTTACAAGTATCTCTGGGAATTCTCATTATCTGCTGATGTAGACCTGACCAAATGTAAACTGTGTCAACAAAATTTTTCTGCGGTTGGAAGAAAACGAGCTTAGATTGGGGACTTGTTTATTTTATAATAGTAAATAATAAATTAATAAAAAAAAAATAATAAAAAAATAATAAATTATTAAAAATAATAAATTATTATTATATAATAATAATAAATAATATAATAATAATAACAAATAGTATAATGATAAGCAATTATTTTTAATGAATCAAATAGCTAATTAGGGTGCATGATAAATAATTAGTGACTAATGCATAACAATAAAGTATTAAAGAATAATTATGATGAATAATCATTATAATGATAAAGTATTAAATCAATTACAATTAATAGTTACATCTATAATTAGTAATTGAAAGTTGCATTATTTGAATTTACACTAATTACAATTCATGGTAACATTTCTTAGCTATCTGCAGGCTTATCACTTTAGGGGTTCCGGCGGAGCACCCCCCCATCCCGTGAGGGCCAGCGGCGCGGAACCCCCAACCCTGAAGAGCGAGCGGCGGCTGGCCGCTGTAACTAGGAATGTGACTACTCGCACTGTGGCTCTAACCGTGCCCGTGACAGATTTCCCTGACCGAAAAAATTACCAAACCGGGTCTGCTAGACAGATGCTACAAGTGAAACAGCTTCCTTGCCGAGGCCAACGGAGCGCCATCGCGACGTGCCATGAGCATAGAGAGG